TGGTTACGTTAAAATTTGGTATGCGGTATCTCAAATACATTAGTAACTATTCCTAGATGGAAATAAGCAAATATATGGTATCATTAAAAAAAAAGGATGAAAAGAAAACATTACTAAATGTCCATTTGTACAACAAAAACAAAACATTAGCAAACATTTAAAATGTCTTCAGTAAAAGAAATTCATGTGTATTTTTAACCCTTTGGTATCCAAAAACTTATATAATGACAAGGACTTCCTTAAATATATTTTCCAGGTAACAAAAGGAAGAAACTAGTTTTTACAAAGTTTCATCCTGAATAAAGTTGGTGTCAAGTTTTCAAGTTCAACAAGGTTGAGGATAGTTTTGTATTATAATTCCACCCAAATTATGTTTGCATACATTAAATATAAGTGCATCATTTAAAAGAGTGTGATAAACTAGTCAACACTCTCACTTGATAATTTGACAAAGGAAAAAAATACATCTAGATTTAGAAAACCATTGGTTATAGTCAAAGCATAATTTGCCAAAACACTCATTTAAATGTCTGAAATAAATTAATTATCAAATGCATACATTATTCAGACTGCTATGAGAACCAGGAAGATCCTAACCAAATTTGTCAAAACTCTAGCCACCAAGGGGTTCCTGTCTGGCAGGTAAAACAGCAAATCCATAACAAAAGGATTTTCTTTAAGCCACAAAATAGAACCAGACAAGTTTGTTTTAGTCACAATTAGAAAAGGGAACAAAACTAGGATTGCAACAAACTGTAATTCAGCGGATTGAAAACCAGACCATATTAATATTACAAGTAAAGATTTAAATACCAATTTAGTGTTACCTACTGAATTCCATGGCTGGATTTTCATTCTGAAGTGTACATAAGTCAGGCAACAATAACAACAAAATCCTTCCTACTACTAGATTCACCAACCAAATATTAATACTAGCTTTAAATGTATCGAGAGGAAAAAAACAAAACCTGACTTTATGTACAGCACTAGTTAAGAATTATTATAGTACTAGTTAAGAATGGTGTAATAAGTTACAAATAATTTAAGCACATTACAAAAAAATAGAATTATTGGTGTGAGACTTAACCAATCTTGTTTATTTTTCAATGTTTTAAAAGACTATATGGCATATTACAAACTTAGCACAGCTTCACAAAGACAGTATGGATCACTGTAAATTCAGAAAGAATTAATGGCCAATAAGGAAAACCTGGGTTAAATTATTGCCAGGTGCAAAAATTGCAAATAAACTGACAGAAATATTAAGTACCTTCATCAAGTTTGTTTCCCTTAAAAAGATTTTTGCTTCTAGACAGGGTTACATTGGTAAGCAAATAAAGGTGGGTTCAACATAGCCACCAAATATGAACCTAATTAAAGCAAATTATAAGGATTTAAAAGTTCAGCAACATTTTTGTGTGTGCTAGATTATTCAAAAAATATGACTAACGTCACGCTGTAGATTCTTGTTGTTATAACTAACTGTGCCCGTCTTCTAAAATTAGGTATGGAAATTTTTCTTTGCGTGAGTCACTGATCTTGCTTATTATAAGACTGTAGATGCCTGTGATCTGATGATCTTGAGATCAAAGTGAGTGAAAGCATATGCAGCCTATTGGAAAGCCTGGACCACAGACCGGCTTCCACAGAAGTGATCTCCCATAGGAAAGCTGCGAGACTTCGGTGTACAGCAATTAAACACTGGCGCGCCAGTGGGATGTGCCACTGAAGTCACTAAGTCACCTCAGATGCAATGACTCTGGTTCACTCTAAGTCCAGTCAAATCCCTTCTACGAGGTTTTCACTCAGGCATTACAGGCAGGCTATTTTGCATCTGTCTGGTTATAGGGAAACAGCCTCTACTTGATGGCTCAATAAAGAGGTAACTAAATTTACTTGATCCCCAAATACTAAAATGAAAAATAGTCTAATAACACCCAAATTAAACAATTTACAATATTAGTAGTAAAAAACTGGTCTCTATTATTAGCAGATAATCACAGAAGACTGAAGCTGATGCTGTTATTTCCTCTATGGTCCAAAAGAAAGAAGCAATATGTTTTTCAAGTTAACATACGCTCTTTTTTCTAATCAAAACCGTTATTTTGTTTTTTATTTTTCTAAACAAAAATAGCATTCAAATAGTGGTTATGACGAAAAACCAAATAACAATCAAAGCTAAATTAACAATTTTACAAAATAAAACTATTTTAGATGCAAGGAGAGAAAAATGGGAATAGTAGTCTATAGATTCAGATGATTTAAAGTACGCAAACATTTAACCTGGCAGCAGAACTGACATCTAATCTTGTGTATATTCAGATGTGAACAATGTTAGATACTAATGGCCATGATTACCTGCGGCAGAAACAAAGCCTCAATTGGGAAGGAAAACTTGGCACCAAAACTTAAGATTTAAAATAAGAGAGGGAAAAAAAAAGTCCGTTAACATACTCACGTGTGGTGCTAGAAAATTTAATACGATGCACAGCAGCTGATATGCGTTATTGATGCAACCTACATTAACAAGTAAGTTATACAACAAGCCATTCTAGCCACAAAGAGTATACTTGGCCTCATCACCATCTTATTTAATGGCTAATAACATAGACAATTTTCAGACTTGGTCTATTTAATGTAGCAGATTACAAAAGGCAATATAGGAACTAAGAGTAAACTTATTAATTTAAAAATAAGGGCATAAGGTAGGTAGTTTTTAATCACAGGGAAAAAAGAAAAATTTATATTATGTTCTTAATATTAAAGCATAAGATATGAAGACTTAATCATCTGGCCAACTGTGAACTGGAAAAGAAAAAAAGTAACTTTAAATAATTCTGTGCTTCTTGACTGTCCTTTGAAAAACTGTATTACTTGCTAGGACTATCATTAAGATAGCACCATTAGAAACAAACAGAACCAGGTACCATAGTTTTGGAGGACCAAGCCATTATATCCTGGTAGACTGAAAGTGTTAAATAATAGAAAAGATATCAAGGAGCAAGTTGTAATAAAGCTTACTGGCAAATCTGATGTCTTATCTAAATGTTAAATAATCACACATACAATAGCCGTAAGTCATAAGGATTAGCTCTATCTCCAAGCCAAAGAGCATATATTTTTACGTTAAAACTGCTTTTGACTATGTGACTCAAACGAAATATTTTCCTTTAAAAAAAAAAAAATCAAAAATTCAATCAAGGGAAATCACCATAATGCAGGGTCTTGAGGGAGTGGCTCTTATACTGAGAACGAAAAACAGACTGGCATTTGAGGCCATGCTCAATCACTGTTGGTGGAGATGGGAAAAGAGACACTTGAGGGTCCTGTAACCAAGGACAAAATTATAAATAAAGTATATTCTCATTCTTTAAAAGACACCTATATCTTTAAAAAAAGGACACAGTGATAGATGTTTATTGGCTCAAAGAAAAAAGTTATCCATTAATAAAACTAACAACTTTGTCATGAAATACTCCGGATCAATTAAGAGTATTATTTAGGAAAGAAAGTTGTTAAAAGGGTCAACTTCTAATTATCTACTTTTCAATAAATGACAATGTTTTAATGAATTATTTTTAGATGACTGTATTTTATTATCAAAGCTTCTGTTACAAAAATTAAAAATTGAATTTTCAATCTATGTATAGTCAATAATGTAACTGCCTTAAGGTAATCCATTTAGAGTAGTATTTTTTAAACTGTATAAAAAACATTCACTTTTAAGTGATAAGAGGAACTGCATGTGAACCAAGTTACAAGGTTTCTTGCAATGCAACTGTTAATACAGGCCACATTAATAATACTAAGTCACCATAATATGTAAATATATGTCAACACCTGAAATAGTGACTAATCTCGACAATAATACAGAATGAAACAGAAGCTAAGATATTAAGATACTAAAAGACAGTCTTGGGTACTAAATTGCATTGACCTATATGGTTTACTGTCCAGGATTTAAGTTTCAGTGGCAAGCACAATACAGAGTCAAAATAATGAAATGGAAACCAAAGGGTTAAACTAAATCAGTTATGTGGTTTTTATTTCTCCAAGTCTAAATTTTCATATTACCATTAAAATAAAGTGACTACTAATTAATTTTATGAAATATTCAAAGCACTTAAGGTAAAACTAAAAAGCTGCTATCATTTTATTATTTGGTTATCAAAGCTGAAGGGCTTACACTCAACATTTAAGGGTGAAAACTGCATCCATTTTGTTAATGCTGTAAACTGCAGAAGAAACATTTTTACAATATAAATATTTTAATAAAACATTAATACAAATGAATATAAAATAAAATGTCTAACTATGGCTAGCAGAAATATGAATAGAAGATCACATTTCTAAATTCATATATTTAAAATACTAAGATTTGCCCATCAAACCATAAATAAACTAGTAGATCTAAAATGGGCTTTAAGCAAGGATATTCAAAAATAGTGCTATCAGTATCAAAAGTTCAGAGCAAGCTTGAAGTCGTTAATGTATACAGCTTCTATTTCAGAGCTATAAATCACTGAAAAATCACAAGAGGCTTCTAAAACGTATTGAACGTATTGCCCTCACATCTTCGAAGATGAGGAAATCACAGCCTAGAAAAGCCAAGTGTCTTTAAGAATTGTGTGAGTCCAAAGGCCTGAAATGTAACACTTCTAAGGCCGTCAAATTAAAACTTGGCAAAGCAAACTTGAAAGACTTGCCCATGGTGACACAACTAATTAGTTGCTGGCAGTCAATGATTCTAGATTCCAAGCGAAATTAATGGACTATTCTCTCCATAATACACTTGTCCTTAGGACAATGAATTCTGAGGCTGACATGAAATTGAACACCCTTTTGCCTAGTGGTCAATATGATCTGCACAACAATTTTCCTCACTAATGTCAAATGACTCAAAAACAAAAAGACACTGCTCATATTAAAAAACAAAACAAAACAGGTATTTTTTATCCTTTGCTTATCTTTAGCTCCAAACAATAAATCAAGACACTTACTCGATGTGAGCTCCGTTTGCCACAAGGGCACTTATGCAATCTAGGCTACCAGACCGAGCCGCCTTATGAATAGGAGTTTCACCCTCACAATCCTGCAAACACAAAAAGGCAGAACACAGACAATTCAGAGCTTATATAAGGTTTACATTTTTTAAAGTCAAACAATGAACACACACAGGAGTTCACTTGTGTTCAAAATAAAGCAACATGGCAACCCCAGCTTGAAGCGAGACACAAAATGAAATAGGGACTTTTCTAAAACTGTCAAAGGTCAAGAGCTTCTGGGGGAAATTGCGGGGCCTCCACCAGTGACAGCAGCCATGCTCTAGTTGGTGATTTAGAATTAATTCTATGCCGGGACTTGGCACAAGTACGTCCTATTTAACCCCCAAGAGAACTACCCTATAATAAACGGGAAGAGAGGACTTAACATCTAACTTGTAGACTGAACTGGTTTTCAACTAACTCTACCTAAAATGCTAATGTGAGTCAGCACACATCAGGGCCTAGCTTGCATGTTCCATTTGGAACCAGAAAAAGGACCACAATCTAAAACAAGGGAGTTGGAAGATCAAGAGCTAGACAGAGGAACACAGAGCCCAAATACAGCAAGCTTGGTAGACAAATTCAAGAATATCTTATATTTGATGGGCGATTTTTTGTTTTTTTAAAGAAAGGGTATATTACAACTAGACTTATGCTTTAAAGAAAAGAAAAAGATTTTATACTT